ATCAAAATTTTATAGAGGAGTACCTAATGTTTCAAATTTTGATATTGATCTATAGAAATACTAAAACAAAATTGAAATACTAAAATTATCGATGATATTATTGTCATTCTGAATACAGTTAGAGTCTTAATGGAATATGGCACAGAACTAAGTCATAAACATGCAAATTGAAAAAGATGACAATGCCTGTATATCTAGATATAGACGCAATCATATACGTATTATAGGTGAAATTGAACTTTTGATGTTACGTAATAACTAACTATACGTCTACGAGACAGCAATCTATCTTTCACTCAAGATATTTCTAAAACTGAACCACATACGTAGATCAACTTCAGGGCACTGAATGTGTGCTGGGTGGACATAAATTACGTGGTAGGACAATGGCCGATATTGAAATACAGGAGTAATTCAACAAATCGGATGCTGATATGCCGTCTCTGAGACGTATGATTAGTAGTTCCTATCTCAGAATGAAATTCTCTCCCTTCTTCAACCCTCTTTTTTTTAGAAAATGATAATTGCGAGGATGAACAAGTTTTCACTTTAGCTAGAGCTATTTGTCGTGCGATCTTATGTGAATACGTACATTCCCCATATTATGTGAATTTTCATATAACTTCTATAAGGATTTGACACATCACGCAAATCTAAATTGTATTTTTGTGAACGTGAATAACTATTCCTTAGGTAATGGAGCGTTCAACAATGAGAATATATCTTGTTGTTTCCAAACCTCAATTTTTCCCCTACCACATATATATCAAAAAACGTTCCAAAATTTGCAATTAATTCACATTCATTAGTTTTTTGGGACAGAAAATGAGAAAATGAAGCCGATCCAGGTAATTTGTAGTGGGGTGAATTTTTGCATAAGGAAATAATAATAGATAGATAGATAGATAGATGAGGCAGATAGATAGATAATTTATTCATTTCTACACAGTTGTTTTACGCGTCTGAGATGTAAGTCACAAACATACAATTTGAAAAATATTTCAAAATCTCATAAAAATACCTACACATACAAATAAAATATAATGACATACTAAAAATCGATTTAAAATATATATCACATATTGAAAAAATCATTTACTGAGTATGGCTCCATCATCAGGAAATAATTCCGTGCTGAGCCAAGGAATCTCTTGGTACTTTGCATACCTTTTATCTCAAGTGGAAGATTGTTACGAAAATACATAGTTTGTGAATTAGGTAACTATAGTTGTTTTCTAGTCTCGTGCTATGTTCATGATTCGTTTTGTGACTGTTGAAGTGATATTCATGTGTGGTCCGGAATTCAATAGTTTCATGAATAAACATGGCAAAGCTGGTACCGTTAATTTGTTTTTTTTTAATATTCCCCAGCATGAGCTGTCCCTCTTCAGATGAAAAATTATCCTCACTACTTTTTTCTGGTATATAAAAACTTTATTCAAGTCGGAGCATCCTCCCCATGTCCCAATCCCAAATTGAATTTTTGACAAAGCTATCTGAAATATGAAGCTATTTTTCTTGCAGAACAATTTCTAATATGATTCCAAGAGAAATTGGTCAATTTCAATGAAAACTCACGACACTCTCCAATGATAGTCGTCTCTAAAAAACTAATCATATCGATGATTATTCATATTTGTCCAAATTTGGTGAGAAGTGCACGACTATTGCTGAGATATAAAAGGGGTCCGTTAAAAGTGATACACGCTGTATATGAATTTCAAATAATGATAGTGATAGGAATAGAATGAGTATACTGAAACCAAGCAGACTTAATAAAGGGCGAATATGAATTTATAAAATAGCGTTTACAAAATGGAATGGAAACATAATTGTGAAATAAGGAATAACAGACCGCAGCATGATCCCCAGAATGCATTCTGATAACATGAAATGATGTGGATTTTTCCTTATGAATATCAATTTATTTCTTCGTACTCCTTAGAACTGTTGTTAGTTGCTGTTTCGGCACTGTTTTGTTTGGGTTAATACATTTCATGGATTTCCATGAAATCAGTTTTTCATATATATACACTGAATTCTCGACAGAAACCATATTTCAGTAGATGTTTACCAATTAACATCGATATTTAATTAATTAGATGTTATATCAGAAGATTTGATCAACAGGATATTAGATGTGACATTAATGATATATTGAATTTTTTCATTAGCAAAATTATAGAGGGTGTCAATTAATTGAGTGCCAATAATACAAGGTGTGAATCCTCGAGTGATTTCAAGGAGAAAATCGTATGTCAACATATGTCCTGAACCTCTTAGTGTTTAAGCTACAGGGTGTTAACATTGTGAGTTTTTTATCATAATTTTGTATCACTCTCAGATATTTTTATGGAATTGTGTACACAGTTCCTCATCATTGAGAAACATTTTTTGACGTGTGAGATTTTCCAGAATTTTCACCAGTGACGTCCGTACCAGGTTGGAACTAACAATTTTTGAAGAAGAAAATGGTACACCACTGATTCTTCTGGAAACCAAAATTATTTTTCGAACATTCATTTATTTTGAAGCAGATATGGTTCCTGAACTTACTTTCATACGACGTACCATTTTCGCGTAAAAAAAAGAAACCCACAAATTTTTTTCTTCAGTTCATTGAGATTGTCTTTGGTGTTTTGTTAAAATTCAGTAGGCACTGACTATGAGTGGAAACACATTTTCTTTTGGAACGAAAATCATGTTTTTATTTATACCAGTGATGTCCACGTTGGCCTGATATTGAATGTTTTGATTAAAAAAAAACTGTGTGCCTCCGATTTTAACACCCTGTAGCTCAAAAACTAAGATGTTGCGGACATATTTCGATATACACTTTCCTCTTCATAATTCCCCGAAGATTTACACCTTGTATTATCGGTAATTAACACCATGTATATGCAAACACTTTTCTGGATCGACATGTTGGAGATTTTCATGAACTGTCTAATTCTTCCGAACCAATATATATACTTCATTCTGAGTGTTTTTGAGAATGATTCAACTTATCTTCAATGGTTACTGTGTACATACATTCAAAATTTAGCAATCGGAATTCATTTTCCTTCACTCATCCTATTTCTCATTCACTTTGTATTTCTCGTCTTAGTTTGATTTATTTCATCCAAACAAATCTATTCATCTCAGAATGGGCAATCTCCGAACTTTACTCCACTGTCACTTTATAATTCAAAATAATGAAAATGTTTCAAGTGAAACACAAGCCTCTTCAGGAACAAATAATGCAAAAACCATTGAAGCTAAACAGTTTGAAAAATATTTCATTTTGTATGTTAATTGAAACGGGCTCCAGATTTCAGACTCATTTTAATTTTTATTTATTGGACAAAGAAGATATGATGTAATTGGCCGGTGTAACAGAGTACCACCAGCCCCAGCAATAACGATACAAGCTACGAATTCGTATTTATCATGTCAGAAAATCAAAAACTTAAAAATTTCATGTTCATGCTGTCAAGTTCATCAAGTTATTGAAACATTTTGAAATAAGATCTACCCCTTGAAGATCCTGTATCTCCTAAGTCAGCATCATTCTTATAAGTCATGTTAGGCTGAATCTTTATAATTTGGTCAGAGATTGCCCAATCTAAATGAATCACCCTGTATATATCTCCTGTTGATATTAAATGGATGATTCTCATTATTTGTTGATAGTATATGGTTCTCAAAATTACTCTTAAGTACAACTCATATATAATGAGGTACTAACAAAATATCAGTAACTTATCAAAACCTTCATTGAAATCGAAAAACGCAGTATCGAAACAAAAATGATCAGCTTGATGATGCTGATGCATTATCATTAATTATAGTCCATCGTCAATAAGTTTCTGTGAGTTGAATGAATTAAGATTATCAGTTATTCCGTTCCACATTCTAACAAATGTATTAGGAGAAGGTATGTACAGTCGTCTTCAGAGAACATGTCGCACATGGACGGTGTCAGCTCTCTTAATCACCGCTGCAATAAGAGCGCTCATACCGGCCAACTGCGACATGTTTACTGAAGACGAGTGTACATTAGTCAGATGCAAAGAACGTGTTGCGATTGGAGGGTGTCAGCGCAGAAGAGACTAGAATTGCAATCACCACCCATGTTCATTGCATGTGACTATACCTATCATGAGACACGTGATTTGCAGTTGTTCAAACTCTCTTTTTTTGGTATTCACTTATCATGCATGACATTCAGATAATATTAATTCTTCATATGATGAGGCCCGATTCGGATTTTTTTTTCAATTTATGAACTTGAAGCATCGTATAATCATACTGGATTAGATGGTACTTTTTTGGCATATACTCGGTATTCCATAATATGTGAGTATCAAATAATAACTCAATATGTTCACTTCAATTCCCAGTTGAATTATTTGCAAGTTCAACGGACACCTTCAATTGATTCTCACAGAACCTGATTTGTTATAACATGAGCGAAACTCATTATAAATAATCGATAATTGAATATGTGGAGGCTCAGCTTTGGTATAAACCTAGCTAACGACTTCACCTGCTGGAACATCAAGGTATGCTAGAATCTAGATGGATAAAAAATAGCTTAGGATCACTCCACCAATATTAGTGTTCGTCCTGCATTCAGCGAGATGTTGTGTCACTATCTGTATGTGCTATGAAGTGTGTGTGAACTCACAAGATGTCGCAGTGTATTGCTAGCTCCCTACTACTGGTTTCTTCTTAGCGACCACCTTCACCCTAAGTATGTGTCCACTATTGCACTTCTCTTTTCTATCTTACTCACACTCTTCTACCGATTCCAAGTAACGAATTTGGTGTAGACCCCAGACTAACAGCTCGTACTCACTGCACTCGGTTGGTGTGCTTTCCAGGTGTCTTGCAGTTCGTGTCCAGTGGCGACCCCCTCGGTCGTTACGACCTTGCCAGGATCCAGGATAATCCGGCAGAGTTCTCAGCCGGAAGCCTCAGCGCCGTGCTGTGGCTCTAATTGTGTTCATGGCACGGCGCCCTCCACGTCCTTGAGACAGCTAAAGGATCATGGAGAGGGGATCGCAGGCATTGCTGCGGATTCGCTGCGAATTAATGGTGCCATGCGGAATTTCCGGCAGGTAGGAGGCGATTGAGCGTGGTTGGTCGGTAAGGTTGTGTGCTGTGATTGTGCTAAAAGGGTTCATGGTGTTCTTATAACAATAGGAAGAAAATGTTCACTCTCTTTTCTTGGACTCTGCTGGAGAGGGATGAGTTTGATTGTTGTACAATGTGAATAAATGGGGATTGAATGCGATGGTATAACCGATTTTGGATGAGTTTCACAGGTTGACGCCATTTATGATCTATTTTCCATTTCATGTAGCAAACCAATAATCCATGAAATATAGAGAATCATTGATGACGTCATATATTCCAGAGGGTTTCCTACGTATACGCAGGATATGTACAAAGTAAAACTTGTAACTTCATCAATTCTAACCGCGTTAAAAATTATAATTTTCATCCCTAGAGAAAATTTGCATCTATCATTCTAATCACAAAAAATATTTCATTAAAATGTGAGAACTATGCATCACGTTTAGTTCAACAATGATAATGTTATGAGATCATCATTTAGAATACTACCTATAAGTAACATTTGATTTATTGCCTATCGTAATCTTTCGATACATTCCGAATAAATGGTGATGATTATAATAAAATTTAGCGTTATATGCTGACTTATAATGGGTGTTATGGAATCCGAGTGATAAATTAAATGTGGTATTATATAAGACATCAGAACATACCACATTTTCTAGCTATTATTGAACTCTTGTCAACATTTCAAAAGTCTTGTTTTTTTTTCAAATTTCCACCCATTACCCATTATACCCATTTCATTTATCACCCCAATTCAGGAAAATCCTTGTATTGCTAACGCTAATACCTACCTCTATAGCATAGATTCATTAATCTATGCCTTTAAGCTGTCTTAATTCGTTGTTGAGAGTGAACATTTTCCTAAATTATAATCAGGAGGTTATATCAAACCATAATTACTATATAACAAAGATTCTGCTAATCTGATATAGAAGGATGAAAGATGTGAATTTAATGTGGTTTACTTAGGGAGATACAAGGTGACTGAGCTTTATCCATCAGAGATTAAGATTCATCGCATTTCCATCTGCTGTTCATACCTGTACTCGGAATATCAAACGCATATTTTGAAGAAATACCATATCAAATACTTTCATATGATTTTTTATGTCACTGGTAATGCATTGTTTATCGTGAGCCTCAACAAAATAACATAAATTCATCATCCACTTCATGAGAGATGATTCTTATCAGGCTTCTATTGATGTTTTCAGTCATTGTCGAACCATTCTTGGAACAATGGAATTATTGTTTGTATCGTATGAAAGATGCTGTTCTTCCAAAGCCATCTTGTATATACATAGCCATATAGGATTTCTCGATACTCACTTCCTGATTCTTGCTCGGTAAGAGAGAGGTCGTATAGCATGATTTGAAGTTTCATAGTGCCACTTCAAGATAAACACTCTGACTAAATTAACACTAACACTTCGCACTAGTTTAAATTGCACCTCATGGTGTCACTGAGATAGGCGGTTTCAATTCACTGCATAATATCAGTATCCTTACTTCTTCCACCTCAATTTCAAGAGGCAGAAGCTATATTTCTGAATTCTGAAGTTCTCCTATTTTTATATCCTCCGGATTCTATTTAGTTAATCTTTTTTCATCAATTCCTGTTGAAACCAATATGGTACAGTTTATGAAGAGATTTGTCTGAATTCTTTGATTTTTGAAGAGCATACACAGATGGGTGGAGATGATTAAATATTTCGAGAATAACTTCAAGAACAAACCGTCTATAGGTTAACGTTATTAAATCCTTTCGTATTGAAAGGCCTGTATACTCAGATTCACTGCACCTGGGCACTGTTTGGTTAAAAGAACTCATGAGAATAGCGATTCACTTGCCAATTATTACATAATACAGCTGAATCTCATTCAACATCCACATCTTTCTGTTAGATAAAATCGACAAGAGTTTTCCAGCTGATGCTCGAAAATGTCCACAGGGAAATGTCACTTCTGAAAAACTGATTTATTTCCATTTCCCTGCTGGAAAGTAAAGGAGAAAGAGATTCCTCCAGCCCCTCTATAGAATAATCTGAGCATCCTCATACACGAAAAATCGATGGTGTGTTTTATAGCCTGTCTACAATGCCATTTAATAAAGTGGTTCATTTTGATAAGAGGTGTAGATCAATTTGACTTGACTTCGCAAAATGAAAAGCTCTCGAATCGAAGCAAACATCATCCTCAAATTGAAATGTAAGGGTTGAGGATAGACAGAGAGGGAGATATTTTGCTGCACTTTCATTGGAATAGGTTGAGTTACTGCTCTCGACCTTCATAATCAATTTAACTTATGTCGAAGCTCGCATGCAGGAGCAATGCGAGCAATGAGGAGGGTTCGGTTAGGTTAGGAGGATATACAGAGAGGGAGATATTTTGCTGCACTTTCATTGGAATAGGTTGAGTTACTGCTCTCGACCTTCATAATCAATTTAACCTATGTCGAAGCTCGCATGCAGGAGCAATGCGAGCAATGGGGAGGGTTCGGTTAGGTTAGGTTCAAAGTGAGTGGGTCTATCCGGCCCTCCACTGCGACCATGCAGTAAGGGTTCATTGTGACTCACACCAATTCATATTTCACCAAGTAGATCCAGATTCTCAATGAAACCAATTGGTTCACTTGGTGAATGATGTTTTAGGTCCGATGGCGAGTGTGAAACCCTGCCACGAAGCGAGAGCCTGATTTATTGAGACATCACGCCAGATCATCCGACAGTCTATAAATATGACCTGTAACTAGACCTGTTAGAGAGCGTAGGTCATCCCTGAATGAAGGATGTATGAATGCCTTGGAATGAGCCAATCATGGTAGATTTTACCAGAAGTCTGCTACTCTTCTTGCAGTCCAAATGTTCAGTGTATGTTTGGAAGAACATGATGCCAATGGCAGGTTCGGGTCCGATAAAGCCACTATAGCGGCTCCCCTCCCTTGCAAGGGCCATTTCATTTCCTTCCATACTGGAATGGCCACGAATCTGGATCAGGGACGATTTGTTGGATCTTTTCATTGTGGAGAGTCCTTTTTGGCAGTTCAATACCTATTTAGACGTATATCGGCACAAGCTAAGTGCTGTCAGAGCTGCTTGGCTATCTGAGTAAATTCTAAGAAAATTGTTTCATGTGCCATAAAACCCTAGGCTGGTTGATATTTCTGTCCTAGGTCTACGACCGTATACACCCTGAGGGTATGTTTGAACTGTAGGGAGATGCATCCTTTTTCTGGAGGTAGACAGATTGGGAGATATACCTGGATACTATCATAGAAAGATCCAAGATCTGGTATGAATTAAGGAATACTCCAAGATGATGAAATAATTAAATGATGAAAAAACTTCGAATATGAAAGTTGTAGGGTTTCATACGTACTATCTTTTGGCACTCCCTTCGCCAAACAGATGCAAATTGCAAAATGAGAGAAAGAAAAAAGAGTCCAAATCAGTTTTTTGTTATGAAATGATCTGTATATTTACAGTTCTAGTGGAAGATATTTTTCTTCTGTTCACAAATATATATGCTTGCTGCACTACTGAAAATTTTGCATTATTTTCATACTCCTTTCACTATTTCATATTTTGTCTCTACTAAATGACCCATTTTGATTAGAGATTTCGACAGAGATGTCAAAAACCACCTGTTTTGTTTCCATGGCGTTCTCTTGTGTCCATGGCCATCTAAAGGTTATTGGAAATTTCGATTCCATATTTTGTAAGCTAAATGAGTGAAAAATGGCCCAAGGGAGCATTAGCAGACTATATATATATATATATATATATATATATATGTATATTTGTAAACAGAAGCAAAAGATCCTTCACTAGAGCTGAGAATATATAGGGTGTTTCGTTGAAACACGAACTGATAATGACTCTTTTCGTATTTTGCAATTCGCGTTTGTTCATTTGAGGCGTGGTAAAAAGATTGTACAGATAAAACCCTACAACTTACATATGTGAAGTATTTTTCCACCTCGCATAGTTGAAGCTGTTGGTAGTGGTCAAAATATAAGGATACACCCTGTACAAAGCAGTTACTTGAATTTCATAAAACATTAGTATTCCTCATTAACCATCAATATGTGTAGTCCATTGCTATTGAAAACTATACCAGCCCATAGTTCTGATCTCTGCGGGAAATAAACAATTCAGTTGTTGACAGAGCTCTCTTCCTTATCCAAACATATCTATATCAATCACTTCACCACTCCTCCCAGATGAAATTGAAAAATGCAAAATGAAATATATCCCTTGACATTGACGAATGACATGAATCATTTTATCATTTGTTATCTGTTCGAAGTAGAAAAACATACCTTCTGCAGTAATTTGCTTCCCTCTTTTACGTGGTTAGAGTTGGGTTCTAATGAGTCTACATTAACGTTTATCAATACCAACATCAATCTTCCTTACTCAATATAATATGCACTAATTCCTCATCATGAATACTATATAGAGATGGGATGTATCAAATTGAATTGAGTTCATATACAGGATGATTCATTGAGAATGGCAATATCTGAACTAAAGATAGTAAACACTAAAATTTCGCAGATATAGGATGTTCTAGGAAAATTTGTATTTAAAATTTCTCCATAACTTCGATCAATTATTTACTTCGAAATTCTGTTCGTTGCTTGTTGATGTTGTTAGTGATAGTCATTTTTGATTACTGCCTTTTTTTACCACTGTCACTTTGCTAACTTCTTCAAGAGCGAATAACGCAGAACCGTTAGAGCTAGACAATTTGAAGAAGAGTACATAATTTATGTAAAAGTGAACGGGCTTTCAGATTTTTGACCTATTTCAATCATCAGTCAATAGACAAAGAAGGTATGAAGTAATTTACCAAAGTAGCCACTAGTGCCTTCTATGACAAAATAAATTACAAAATAATTTTTCTCATATCAGAGAACCTGAACAAAAATATTGAGTAACTTTGAAATCTGATCTTCCCCTTGGACACCCTG